TAAGGTAATCCAAACCTTTATTTATATATTGTTCTAGTTTCTTCTGTTCGTTTTTTGGCACTTAACTTCAGCATACTTTCAGCTAGAAAAACCATTCAACCTTTAAGCAATTCAGCAAATCTTTAGCTATTCGGTTTGTATTCCGCTTTTTTATATCTATTAGTTTTTGAATTATCGCAGTTGACATTTTATGGTAATTTTGGCCTCTCCATTCATTTGAATGGGGACTGTTGGTGTGTCACGTGACCCACACTCTAGCTCTGTCCTTTCACCTTTTTAAAATTTCTCTGCCTGTTTTCTGCTCTTAATCTGCCAACCTTAAGCTTCCACATACAAATTATACATGAAAACGGTAGAGAAAATTGTGAGGAATCAGACAATGCCCTTGTTATTGTGATAAGATGAACAGTTTTTGATTGATGTGGCACATTCCAGAGAGTGTGCGGCCTCACTCTCCCATAGACTGCCATTGTGAGATGGACAGAAAATCTCCTCGAAGCAAAAGTGAAGGCTATTTGTAAATCGCCACAGTTCCTTTATTAATATTTTCACATAAAGGTGATCAGTTTCCAACCTTACCTCTTTTCTATCTTCCCTATCTATCCCTCCCATCTATCCTTACCTCTTCTCCATCTTCCCTACCCTCCTCTCCCCTATCTTCCCCCCTCCTGTCTGTCTTCCCACCTTACCTCCTCTCTCTACCTCACCCCTATCTTCCCTCCCACCTTACCTCCTCTCTCTACCTCACCTCTGTCTTTCTTCTCACCTTACCTCTTTTCTATCTTCCCTATCTATCCCTCCCATCTATCCTTACCTCTTCTCCATCTTCCCTACCCTCCTCTCCCCTATCTTCCCCCCTCCTGTCTGTCTTCCCACCTTACCTCCTCTCTCTACCTCACCTCTATCTTTCTTCTCACCTTACCTCTTCTCTATCTTCTCTATCTCAATTTTTAATGCCTAGCTACTCTTCACCCACCCTGTATGTATTGTTGTAACCACCATGGCCTATTTGTTTCTTGCCAATGCTAGATAAAATAGTTTCTTTGGTTCTTATTGTGTTTGTCCTGATTGATGTTTGCAGTGAAATGATTTTGAACAATGCCGTTCTCATTTCACATACATTAGTGTGGTTAAAGGCCAAGGCCAGCAGAATGCTTTCAACTTTTACGATACAAAGTTGTGCCAAGAGCGTTTTTCCCGCTGCCTCTCTCCGTGGGGATTACAAAGGGGAAAGTAACGCCTGCTGGCATTCACGTCCTGCCCTTCACAAGCACCATTACGCTCATATCAGACTGGCGCTTACGATGTCCCCAGTGACAGAAAAACATAAATAGCGAGCACAAGGCTGTGAATGAATGGCAATGCAGTGCGTTAATTAACGAAGGGCTACACCAATTAAGCTCCCATGATTAGTGTGTGAATATCAGTGCAGTCACGCAGTTTGGGACTGGGCGCAGAGTAACACCACAGTTTACTGAACACAAAGACCATAAACAAGCACTGGTAACAAGTACACTGCCAAGTGCGAATAGCTGTGCATTTCAGAGAATTTATGGCTTTTTCAAAGATGCATATTTTACTGTTTTATGGTCTTTTTGAGAATTTTTTTAGGCAAAAAAAAAAAGGTTAAAGCAGTCTTCCAGACCAAGAATGGAAATCGGTAAGCTGATTAATTCTGCTACATTACAAGTCTTACTGTTTTCATCACTTACAATTTGGTTATAAACCCGCTATATATGGAAAGGATAGCTCGATTTTTGATAGACCTGACCAACAGAACCGATTAAAATTTTTCTTTTTTCCCCACACACTACCAGTCAAAAGCTAGGACACACTTGTAGTATATGAAAAAAGAAAGATTAGATTTGAAAGTAGTATTACATGGTTCATTGCTCTGTTTCAATGCTTTCAGATAAATGGTACCAAATGAATCAAAAGCATGTTAATATTGCAGGTCTCAGTTAAAAGATCATTGAGGGTAACATTTTCTGAGGTAGGTAACCTCACTGAACATCTGTTGTAGGTGGAAAAAAGAACTAGTGACCTTCAGACAAACTGATCCAAGTTCCTATTTAGATTCCAATTATGGAGCTCTCCAAACACTGAAACAATTCAGGTAACAGGATGGAAACAAACACTCACGCAGGAAAAATGCCGCTGGTTTTGGCCTACAGATATATTTATTCCTGTGTTTAAACAGGTTCTAATTGTAATAACATGTTTCTCTTTGTTTTGCTGCTGCACAAATAGAGTGAGAACAAACACTTCATTAATCGAGTAGACTACACTAGGTAGTCGGTAATGAGGTGAATGTTTGAAGAATAAAAGCAATAATGACCCATGTTTGGTTTACACATATATAATTATGCATTTATTGACAAGAATGGTACAGGTCCGCTGTGGGACAGAGGTCAAGCCAACTAACAGATGTGTGTCTTCAGTTTACTTAGCAGACCTCCTGGTCCTCTTGTTCCAGGAGAAGTTTGCTCCATAGGATTTCACCCGGGGCTTTGAGGACCTCTTCTCTGTTACCTCATAGCTCCAACCTGAAGCAAAAACATCGAGGTATGTGATGGGGCCGGGAACATCATGTATATTCACTTTGGCTGAGTTCCAGCTATAGTGAGGCGTTGTGTAGACATCAGCAGGCTGTGTGTAGTCAGAAGTGCACTAATCACTTTCATGGTGCAATAAACAGAGAAACCTAGTTCCTTTTGCTTGGTTCCAACAAAATCTCCCAGATGGTTCAGTTCTCTGAGTCAGAGGGAACTTTCTGTTGAGCACTGCTAGACAGGAACTACATCAACCGTGTAACTAACAGAAAACTACTTAGGATTGTCATTGATTACGTTAACCCATCAAAAGCATTCAGATGTTTTATTGCTTGATTTCTTACACAGGCCACATGATGTCAGCAGGTGGATGCTTTTTGCAGTAAAGGTCTAACAGGTGCTGTTTTACTCTTGATGACAGATCTATAACCCGTGAACATTAAAAACATAGTCTGAAGCTTTCTGTTAGACTGGCCAAAAGTTGCTTATTTTCAAGAATCTGATTATTGGGTTCTCCTTCCTGGGAGTAAACTGCAGCGCATCACATTCAGAGTTTATGGAAGTAATTTAGTTTCTTTACTCTGCAGTCAAAACACATTTGAGAGCAAAACCAAAAAAAGTTTTAGATGTTGTATATAAACTGAAATCAGGACTATTTTAATTTCCAACACAATATTACAATTTTTTTTATCATTTAACACTTTTTTCTTTGTTTGCATTTTGTTGGATTTGGTTGCACTTACAAGATATTGACAGCTATTAAATTTGCTTTGCATTAAACTGTATTACTATTTGTCACTTTCCTCTATAATTAATGAATAACCTTACAGAAAGTATGGGATCAGATTTCGAACTGCACAGTACCCCTAAAAGCTTTGCTCTCGGTGCACAGGGTTTTTTTGTTTGCAGTAAAATAGTTTCTTTGGTTCTTATTGTGTTTGTCCTGATTGATGTTTGCAGTGAAATGATTTTGAACAATGCCGTTCTCATTTCACATACATTAGTGTGGTTAAAGGCCAAGGCCAGCAGAATGCTTTCAACTTTTACGATACAAAGTTGTGCCAAGAGCGTTTTTCCCGCTGCCTCTCTCCGTGGGGATTACAAAGGGGAAAGTAACGCCTGCTGGCATTCACGTCCTGCCCTTCACAAGCACCATTACGCTCATATCAGACTGGCGCTTACGATGTCCCCAGTGACAGAAAAACATAAATAGCGAGCACAAGGCTGTGAATGAATGGCAATGCAGTGCGTTAATTAACGAAGGGCTACACCAATTAAGCTCCCATGATTAGTGTGTGAATATCAGTGCAGTCACGCAGTTTGGGACTGGGCGCAGAGTAACACCACAGTTTACTGAACACAAAGACCATAAACAAGCACTGGTAACAAGTACACTGCCAAGTGCGAATAGCTGTGCATTTCAGAGAATTTATGGCTTTTTCAAAGATGCATATTTTACTGTTTTATGGTCTTTTTGAGAATTTTTTTAGGCAAAAAAAAAAAGGTTAAAGCAGTCTTCCAGACCAAGAATGGAAATCGGTAAGCTGATTAATTCTGCTACATTACAAGTCTTACTGTTTTCATCACTTACAATTTGGTTATAAACCCGCTATATATGGAAAGGATAGCTCGATTTTTGATAGACCTGACCAACAGAACCGATTAAAATTTTTCTTTTTTCCCCACACACTACCAGTCAAAAGCTAGGACACACTTGTAGTATATGAAAAAAGAAAGATTAGATTTGAAAGTAGT